CTAAGAGAGTATAGGTAAACAACATGCTATTCCCAGAATGGTTCACAAGAAATTAGAAGTACATAAAAAGGACAGTAGAAGAGAACAGATGTTCTAACTTAGAGGCTGCACAGCTGAAATAATTAGCAGTATAGGAAAACTTGAATCCATGATATCAAGTCTCTTCAGAGAAAGAATAGATCAATAAATTGGGTGTGCAACTAAAAAAAAACTAGAAAACAAATTTTAAAAATCCAATTAAAGACCAAAATAAAAATTCTAAAAATCAGTGGAACAAATCAGGTTCACAACATAGAAGCAAATGACCAGAGTAGTCTAGTTTGACAAATACCTTTGCTATGGTGATAAGAACTCACTATCTGACAAAAAAAACTGCTGGAAAAATTTGAAAGTAGTATAGCAGAAACTAGGAATAGACTGATAACTCACACCATATACTGAAATAAGCTCCAAATGGGCACACAACTTAAGATGTAAACTAATGAGGAGCAAAGAAGGTTGGTTATCTGTCAGATTTATGGCTAGGGTAATAGTTTATGACCAAATAAAGGACAAAGAGGATCACAGGAGATAAAATGGATAATTTTCATAAAATTTAAAAGTTTTTATACAAAACCAATTAGAAGAGAAACTGGAAAGTTGGCGGGGGTGCAGCAAGTTTTTCTGATGAGGTCTCATTTCAAAGGAACTAATTCAACTTTATAAGAATAAGTTACTCTTAGGGGCAGCTAGGTGGTGCAGTGGATAGGGCACTGGCCCTGGAGTCAGGAGGACCTGAGTTCAAATCTGGCCTCAGACACATAACACTTAATAGCTGTGTGACTCTGGGCAAGTCACTTAACCCCATTGCCTAGCCAAAAAAAAAAAAAGAATAAGTTATTCTTCAATTGATAAATGATTTGTGGTCAAAGGATATGAATAGGCAGGCAGTTTCCAGAGGAAAGCAACTTAGAAGGTTGGCAGGAAAAGTCTGTCTTATTGGGGTAAGAGGAAAGTGCAGTCCAGCACATGCCACTTGCCAAGCTAGCAGTGAGGCCTTGAGCCCCTGGAAAGCCAGCAGCAAGGTCCTGGACCCCTGCACAAGGCAGCCAGCAGCAGGCTTTGGGCACAACTGAATCTGTGACAGCGACTGCTAGAGCTCTTAGCCCATAGATGGTAAGGGGGTTGGACAGCTGGTGAGAAGGAGATTACAGGATTTTAAAAATAAGAGAGGTAAGGGAAAAATTGGGGAAAGAAATGAAAGGGATGCAAAAAAATGATGAAAAAGAGTCAAGCTTGGTTAAAGGAAGTACAACAAATACTGAAGAAAATAACACCTTAAAAACAGAATAGGCCAGGTGATAAGAGGCAAAAAAAAATCCACTGAAGAGAACTCCTAAAAAAAAAAAGCAAAATTGGTCCAAATGAAAAAAAGATATACTAAAAGTAAAAAAAAAAAAGCAGGGATAGCAATCATGATCTCAGACAAAGCAAAAGCAAAAATAATTCTAATTAAAGAAGATAAAGAAGGAAACTACATCTTGCTAAAACGTAACACAGACAATGAAGTAATATCAATCCTAAAGACATTCACCAAATGGTATAACACCTAATTCATAAAGGAAAAGTTAAGTGAGTTACAAGAGGAAATAGAAAATAAAACTATATGAGTGGGGGACCTCAACTTTCCCCTCTCAGAACTAAATAAATCTAACCAAAACAATAAACAAGAAAGAAGTGATGGAGATGAGTAGAATTTTAGAAAAGTTAGATATGATAGATCTCTGGAGAAAAGTGAATGGGAATAGAAAGGAACATACCTTTTTCTCAGCTATACATAGCACCTTTCCCAAAACTGACTGTGTTTTAGGGCATAAAAACCTCCCAAGCAAATGCAGAAAAGGAGAAATATTAAATGCATCCTTTTCAGATCATAATGCAATAAAAATTACGTTCAGTAAAAGATCGTGGAAACATAGGTTGAAATTAATTAGAAATGAAGTAATCTAATCTTAAAGAATGAGTGGGTCAAAGAACAAATCATAGAAACAATAATTTCATTAAAGAGAATGACAACAATGAGACAACATATCAAAACTGCAGCCAAGGCAGTACTCGGGGAAATTTGTATCTCTAAACACTTACATCAATAAAATAAAGAATAGATCAACAAATTTGGCATGCAACTAAAAACTAAAGAGAACAAATTAAAAATCTCCAATTAAACACCAAATTGGAAGTCCTGAAAATTAAAAGATAGATTAATAAAATTGAAATTAAGAAACTGAACTGATAAATAAAATTAGGAACTAATTTTTATGGAAAAAAGAACCCCAGTAAAATAGATAAACCATGGGTTAATTTGATTTAAAAAAAAAAAAGAAAACCGAACTACTAGTATAAAAAATGAAAAAGGTGATAGGCAATGAGGAAACAACTATCACTCTTTGCAGATGATACGATGTTATACGTACAAAATTGTAGAGAATAAACTAAAAAACTATGAAATTATTAACAACTTTGGCAAAGTTGCAGGATACAAAATAAACCCACATAAATCATTAGCATTTCTATATGTATCAACAAAGTCCAGCAGCAAGAGATAGAAAGAGAAATTCCATTTAAAATAACTGTAGACAATATAAACTACTTGGGAGTATACCTGCCAAGTAAAATCCAGGAACTATATGAATACAACCATAAAACACTTTTCACACAAATAAAATCAGATCTAAACAACTGGAAAAATATTGACTGTTCATGAGTAGGCTGAGCTAATACAGTAAAAATGACAGTTCTACCCAAATTATTATCAATTTATTCATCATCATACCAATCAAACTATCAAAAAGTTATTTTATAGAGCTAGAAAAAATAATAACAAAATTTTTCTGGAAGAACAAAAGCTCAAGGATATTCAGGAAATCAATGAAAAATAATGTCAAAGAATGTGGTCTAGTGTACCGGATCTCTAACTGTATTATAAAGCAGTAATTATCAAAACAATATAGTACTGGCTAAGAAATAGAGTGTGAGATTAGTGGAATAGATTAGGTACAAATTACATTATAGTAAATGATCATAGTAATCTAGTATATGATAAACCCAAAGATCCAAGCTTTTGAACAAAAACTCATTTAACAAAAACTGCTGGGAAAACTGAAAAGAGTATGGCAGAAACTAAGTATAGAAAAACTAACTATAAACCAGCATCAAACTGTATACCAAGATAAGTTCAAAATAGGTACATGATTTATACATAAAGGGTCATACCATAAACAAATTACAAAAACATGGAATAGTTTATTTATCAGATTTATGGATAAGGGAAGAATTTAGGACCAAAGAGTTTGCAGAAACAAAACCAATGCAACAAAAATTATAAGGAAAGCAGAAAACTAGGGGAAAAATTTTACAAGTATCTCTGATAAAGGACTCATTTCTCAAATATATAGAGAACTGAGTCAAATTTATAAAAAATACATGTTATTTCCCAGTTGATAAGTGGTCAAAGGATATAAACAGGCAGTTTTCAGATAAAGAAATCAAAGCTTAGTCCTATGAAAAATGCTCTAAATCACTATTGATTAGAGAAATGCAAATTAAAACAATTTTGAGGTACCACTTCACACCCATCAGATTGGCTAACATGATAAACATGACAGATGCTGGAGGGGATGTGGAAAAATTGGGACACTGATGCATTGTTGGTAGAATTGTGAACTGATCTGACCATTCTGAAGAGCGATTTGGAACTATGCCCAAAGGACAATCAATCTGTGCATACCCTTTGATCCAGCAATACCACTATTATATCTGTATCCTAAAGAGATATACAAAAATATTTATAGCAGCTCTTTTTGTGGTGGCAAAAAATAAGAAATTTAAGAAATGCCCATCAATTGGAGAATGGCTGAATGAGTTGTAGTGTATGATTATGATAGAATACTATTGCTATAAGAAATGTTAAGCAATATGCTTTCAGAAAAATCTGGACTTACACGAACTGATTCAAAGTGAAGTGAGCAGAACCAGGAGAGTATTATACATAGTTACAGCAATATTGTACAATGATCAATTGTGAATGACTTAACCAATCTCAGCAGTGCAAAGATCTGAGACAATTTTGAAGGACCTATGATGAAAAATGCTATCTACCATCAAAGGAAGAATTGATGGAATCTGAATGCAGATCGAAGCATACTATTTCTTTTCCTTGGGGTTTTTTGGTGTTTTCTTTTACAACGTGACTGTCATGGAAATATATTTTGCATGACTGCACACGTATCACCTTTATCCTATTGCTTGCTTTCTCAATGAAGGGCCAGGGGTTGGAGGTCAGAATAGAATTTGGAAAATTCAGAATTGCAGAAAATAAAGGTTAAAAATTGATTTTACTTGTAATTAGGGAAAAAAAATTAAAAAAAGATGCCATCTTTCCATAGTCACCATGTTGAGGTCTTCATAGCAGGGGAATGACTCTCTCTGGATTATATAGTGTAGAAACCTTGACAAGATTTAAGCTGGAAAACTGGATTACGGTTCCCTCAAACAAAGTGGTATTTGTAAAAGTACATAGTTGGCATTAATAAATGTTTACTCCCTTCTCCCTTCTGAATTGCCCTAATTATAAATGATGTTGATATTAACACTTTATAGTTCAGGATCTGAGTAAATATAACTCAAGACTGACTTTTTCTGTATGACAGAGGAAAATAATTTGTAACTTAACTTAGTTTTGTGCTTTTTTCTCTTCCTTCCCCTGCTCCCAACTAGAGGAGATAACATGTGACTTATGTGGGAAAACCTTTAAACGAAAAGACTACCTTAAGCAGCATAAGAAAATTCATGCTCCAGAACGGGAGGTGTGCCGATGCCCAAGAGAAGGCTGTGGCAGATCGTACACAACTGTGTTTAATCTTCAAAGCCATATTCTTTCCTTTCATGAGGAACAGCGCCCATTTACTTGTGAATATTCTGGCTGTGGAAAATCATTTGCCATGAAAGTAAGTAAGTTCGCATTTTGCCCTGTGGCCAGCTACTAAACATAAAGCCAATACACCTGTCTAAGCAATTCTTTTAGTAAAACCTTGTATGAACTGATGCAAAGTGGAGTAGAACCGGAAGAACAACTTAAATGATGACCACAAGGTAAAATTACTTTTACCATGAAGGATAGATACTGTTATTTGTATGTTCATTTTGACTTTGGGTTACTTTTTGTGGACATTTCTTGATATATGGAGATAGAAAAAACTGGCATTACAGAGCACATGGAGTAAGGTGAAGTTTACATGGGATAAGCAGATGTGGTCATTCATTTCTTGTTTAAGACTGGCCTTCTTAGACTGGGCCAAGAGTGTGGGCTCATTAGTTTTACAGTTTTGTTTTTCATGGAAACAACTAATATTGGGAGGAGGCAGTAAGCTTATATGAAGAAGAGAGATGAAATTGATAGCTACAGGAAACTGACCCTCTGCTACCTGAGAAGATGAGTATTTCCAGTAAGAGAGAGTGTTTGGTGAGTGGCAGAGGAGACAAGTCTTTAATGATAGTACAACTAGCAGATTTTTTGAGATTTTTAACTCATGACATTTTTAATAGGTTTAGAATTTGTACATAAAGAATATCTGGTTTGACCTTTCTCCTTCCTTCATTGCAGCAAAGTCTTACAAGACATGCCGTTATACACGATCCTGACAAGAGAAAATTAAAGATTAAAGTAAGTTGGAACTTGTGAAAAGTGTGATTTCATGTTAACATATAACTTAGGAAACAGGTTCAGTTCTCTGTTGAACATCCAAAGTACCTTGCTTTTAACTTAATGATGCTGACTGTAGTTCTTAAGAGGAGACAGTGTCATGAGACAGTAATATTGTAAGTGCTTGAACTTGGGTTCAAGTCCTGTCTCTGACACATACTGGCCGTGTGACCATGGGTACATGACTTAACTTCTCAGAGCCTTGGGCAACTTTCTAAGACTCTTAAGTTATGGATGAGTTGTCCACTTAGTTGTACTCATAGGAAATCTTTACACCAATGAAACTGCAGGTCCAGAACAAAAAGAAAAACTTATGACATACTCAGATTTCAAGAAATTGCTCAGATGTATAAAAATTACTCAGAGAAATACCTGTATGGATGTGTGATTGATTTTATTTTAAATTCCCAAAGGTGAAACGACCCTCTGGAAAACGGAGCCTGGCCTCTCACCTCAGTGGATACATTCCTCCCAAAATTAAAGAAACATTGCCAAAAAATGGCAAGTCATCAGACTGTTTTGAAGAAAACATGCTCTCAACTGTTGCAATACTGACCCTTGGCTAAATATTACATATGTAGACTTACGTAAATAGCTTTTTTAATTAAAAATATCAGTTTCCTTCTCACCTTTGAAAGTTTTTCTTTATTAAAATATCACTGCTGCAGAATATCTGATTCCGTATCATAACTATTTTCCTTATTCAGAGTGTCTCTACTTTTTTGAGTCTCTGTACTTTTCCTATATGTAGCCATTTCCTTATTGCTCAAGTGGCGAAAAACACAGGTTGCAGCTTTTCCACCTCTTATGATTTGGGGCTTGGATGTGAAGGTAGCTAGTTCAGGCATAGTCTTCAGAATTTTGTTGAAAAGCTCCTCCTAAAAAATAACCAAAATCAAGTTTCTATGTTAAAACACAAACATTTGTAAAAATTAGGATTGTCAAGTGTTTCCAATTATTAGATATGACCCTATACTAGACACTGTGGAGTCTGTGGAGTTTGGGTTGTGATGTGATTCCTTTCCTCACAGAGTTTAGACATTGTTGGAAAGCTGAGGTTGAAAAATCTAGATGTGATTTTGATCAGGTAAAATACCCAGCATATTCTGCATGAAATTATCCTGACCAACGCTGGCAATAATGTGCCCAGGAGCCTTTATATATTGCTGCCAGTCACAAAATAATTGCTACACAGTAGCCAAAAATCATAAAGGGACATCACCTGACACAGAGAGCTTCCTTTTAAGAAGTCTCTAACTTGTCTGGTATGGGCCACTGGTGCCCAAAGATGGAACTAGGCTAATGGATAAGTATGTGAGTCATTGCATTGTGGTGGCTGAGAGTGATAGTGGTATATATGGTAGTACATGTGTACAGCAGAGATTTGGGAGGATGTGACAGAGTTTCAAGAAATCTGGTGTATTGCCAAATGATCTATTTCTCCCATACCTCTAGGCTGCAAAAGATAGGGAGACACTTGTGGGAGATGACTTCCTCTTACCCCACCCACTAGTGAGGTGCTTCTGTCAATGAGAAAAGTATGGGAAGATCTGACAAGAAAAAAAGGTGATAGTACCATTACAAAATCACATAATATCAAGACTCTACAAATGTTTTATTTTAAGCTTTTATAGTATGAATTCTGACCTCCCATGGAAATACCTCCTACTGAGGAAACTTTGTATGGAATAAATAATCTCTTATATGTTTTGCCTAACATACTTTTAAACACCATTTTAAAATATAAAGATAAACCATTATATGGGGCAGCTAGGTGGCACAGTGGATAGAGCTGCAAAACAGTTGCCTAAGAATGTGGGCACTAGTTTAGGGAGTGAGAAATGCCACAATCTGCCTTCTATCCCAAATCTAGAACGCCCTTGTGGGGCAGCTAGGTGGCTTAGTGGATAGAGCATCGGCCCTGGATTCAGGAGGACCTGAGTTAAAATCTGACCTCAGACACAACACTTACTAGCTGTGTGACCCTGGGCAAGTCACTTAACCCCACTGCCTAACCAAAAAAAAAAGATAAACCATTATATAAATAACATGCATCGACACAGAAATGAAGATTAATTATAGATAAGTGTAGCACAGTTAATTGAAAAGAGGCTCCCAGAGGGAATTTGCCTATATAGATCTAATTTAGTACACGAAGTATTTAACTATATGCAAGGAACTGTGCCAGATGCTGGCTAGCATTAACTATGATTGGAAAAAGAAATTCAAGAAAGTACAAAAAAAAATAAGTTATGAATATTTTTTATTATCACCTGTATTGATAACGTCAGAGAACCATGAGCTAAGCAAGTCCAATGACCAAACCAAAAACAATGTGTGAAGACAATGCTTACATGAGCTAGCACTGTGCAGTATTGTGGAATTGATTCTGGCTGTCTTCATATCTAAGTTAATTTAACGACAGCTTAATAACAGAATTAATTGGCTCTCAGATCTTTTTACCTGAATATCCTTCTATAACATCAAAGTTAAGCTCATCTTTTTGCACAAATGATTTCCTATTCCATAATTCTCTATTTCTGTTAATGATACCACAATCATTCCAACACACCCCGTCTTGTATACTTGGAGTCATCTTCAACTTTTTTTTTCCTTCTCCACCTCCCCCTCCCATCCCCTTCCCCAGTCCAATCACTCTTTATATTAGGGTCTTTTTCCTTTTGTTTCCATCCTCACTGTGATTTAGGACCTTCTTTCCTCATGTGGATTACTAAAATTGCCTTTTAGTTGGTCTCAACATGCTCAGTCCTTCAGAACTTACAAGGTTACCTTAGAACCCAAGTCTTTGCATTTGACCCTCTTTTTTCGGTACCTTCTCCCTTGGGAATCTTATATACTCCTATAGCACCTCTATATCAATGATCTGTGCATAATCCTCTATCCTGCGCCTGCCCCCCCCAAACACCCCAAATTGAAAGTCCTTGAAGAAAGACAAATGTGTACGGTTTTACCTTTGTATCTGGGCACTAGGTGGGGATGGGAGGGTGGATAAGGGGGTGGGAGAGGAAGGAGGCAGGCTCCAAGTATAGACAGTCTCTCCACCAACAGAGACTGGAAACTCCTCTGTAACTTACAGCTTACAGTTACCTGGAGCACCAAGTGACTCTGGGACAGGACTCAACATAGACCTTCCTCATTCTGTAATAGGCAGCCTGTGCCTCTCTGTCTCACACAGCTTGCACACAGTAAGTGCTTAATTAACAGATTTTTTTTTTCCATTGAATCAATTTTGTCTGATGTCTGACCTGCTCTTTCTAAAATGTAAGCTTCTGGAAAGCAAATAATATATCTTCAGTAACCATATTTCTAAACTAAAAAATTAGAATACATGGCCTCACAAAGGTTATCCCTTTTGTAAAGCCTTCTTAAAAGCAGACTTATTTTCTCAAAAAGTAGAACTGTCATGAAAATCCTGGACTAGCCTGACTTAAGTCTATCTGACAGATCTCTGAATTCCTCTCCTTTTTAATGCCTAGCAATAGCTTGCACATAGGAGCTATTCATTAAATATCTGTTGAATATATAAATGGCCTTGTATTTGTATTACACTTTGATACTTTAGCTTCACAATTTTTCTGTCACACAAGGCAGTTTTTCTATTTCTAATTTCTACGTGGAGAAACTAAAGGACTAAGAGGGTTGTCAAGTGACAAAACTAAACCCAGGTTTTGCCTCTTAACCCATTTACTTTTCTTAAGAGCAGAGATCTCAAAGCCAGAATGCTTGTTGCTACCCCCTAAGTCCTTTTGTTCAGATAAATATGTAGTTAGATTAACAAGCCTTTCTGAAAAGTGTTAGCTAGTAGTAGCAATACAATTGTAATATGCAATTAAAATACATCATTTTAATTGGCAAAGCCCTCTACCCAACCATACTACTTTCCTCCTCGCTTAATCATAAATTGGTCCGTTACTGTCGTCTTCTAGGTGTTTAATTATTTAAGTCTTTTTGGAAATAAGCACAGTATAAATCTAGGCTAAATCCAATGAATCAGTTGTGCATATCCAAATTAATATAGTCATCTACTGATAATCAACGAAAACCTATAGAATAACCAAAGTTATTAAAAAGTAAAGGCCAGGTAACCGACAGATAAAATGCACTGAACTTGAAACGACAAAGAATGACAATCTCGGACTCTGTCTCAAGAGCAACACTATATATGTACTCAGCATGACCAAATTCTGGGACTGCAGATTGGTCCATAAACCTCCTTTTGAAGCAGGAAATGGAGGGTTGCAAGTAATGAGGAGGTAACTGCCAGAAAATGGTAGCAGCTATGTTTGGCAGATGACATGCTTTACCTTCTACCTCCAAACCTGCTTAGTTACCCTAGTGCAAGGTGATATAGTGCCTACAGTGTGGAATTTGGAATACGGAGGAATTGAGTTCAAAGCCTGACTGGTCAATTTTAATACAAATATGCCCTCTCCTCATTTTCCATTGCCTTCTTATCTCCTTCAGGATCAAATATAAAATCCTGTTAGTCATTCAAAGCCCTTCACAACCTGGTCTCCTATTTTTCTAATCTTTTAAAAATTTACTCTGCTTCAACTCTGCAGTCCAATGACAATTCCATCTCCAGATTCTAGGCAATTTGTCCCGAAGGCCTGGAATTCTTTCCCTCATTTCCTCATCCTTGCTTCCCTGGGTCCCTTCAATTTTCAGCTAAAATCTTATTTTAGCTAATTGTAGCTAATTCTACCAGAAGCCTTTCTTGACCTCCTCTAACGCTTGTGCCTTCCTCCTATTGATTATCCCAATTCATCCCATATATATACAGTTTCTGCCCCATTAGACTATGAGCTCCTTGAGAGCAGGTACAAGGTTTTGCCTTTTTTTTGTATAGATTAGTGCCTGGCACACAGCATGGTTGTTGTCCTTTGACCAAAATGACATCACTATGCTAAAGTCAAGCTACAGTGGGCCCAACTGTGGCTGATCAGACCAATACTTGATAGAGCTCAGAAGAGTCCATGGGAACATTTTGGGGTAGATTCTATAAATTTGTGCACCTCACATTTCTTTTAAGCTGCTTCAATTCTGCTTTGCTCATACAGCATGGCACCTCCTCTCATTTGGGCACTCCATGCTGAGTGGTCCTGTGCCAGTGAGTCCCATGTCACACAATCAATTCCAAAATTCTTAAGAGAGACTTTGAGAGTGTCCTTATATTACTTCTGACCACCATGTGAGCACTTGCCCTGTGAGAGTTCTCCATAAAATAGTCCTTTTGGCAAGTGTACATTTGGCATTCGAACGACGTGGCCAGCCACCAAAGTTACACTCTCTGAAGCAGAGTTTGAATGCTTGTCAGTTTAGTTTGAGAAAGGACCTCAGTGTCTGGTATCTTCTCCTGCCAGGTGATCTTCAGAATCTTCCTAAGACATTCAAATGGAATCCATTCAGTTTCCTGGCATGGTGCTGGTATACTGTCCAGGTTTCACAGGCATACAACAATGCGGTCAGCACAACAGCTCTGTAGACCTTCAGTTTGGTAGTCGGTCTAATACCTCTTCTCTCCCACACTTTCCTTTGGAGCCTCCCAAACACTGAGCTAACTCTGGCAATGTGTGTGTCAACCTCATTATCAATGTGAACATCCTTGGAAAGTATGCTGTCAAGGTAAGTGAATTATTCACAGCATCCAAAACTTTTCCATTTGCTATAACTGATGGTTCCATATATGGACGGTGTGGTGCTGGTTGATGGAGCACCTGTTTTCTTGGTGTTAATTGTTAAGCCAAAATCAGCACAAGCGGCAGAGAATTAGTCCATACTTTGTTACACCTCAGCTTCAGAGCCTGCATTGAGTGCACAATCATCTGCAAACAACAACCACCACCAAAAACACATGCACCAACACTCCCTCCACTTTGGTCTTGCCTTGGAGCCTTTTCAAGGTGAAGAATTTACTATCAGTGCAGTAACTGACCCTGATGCCAAGTTCGTCCTCATTGAAGGCATTTGACAACATGGCTGAAAACATCACGCTAAAAAGCATGGGAGCAAGCCCACAGCTCTGTTTCACTCCATTGGTGACTGGGAAAGCACAAGAGCATCGTCCATAATCCAGAACCTGGGCAAGCATGCCATCATGAAACTAACATACAATACTGATGAACTTCTCTGCGCAACCAAATTTTGACATAATTTTCCATAAGCCCTCGTGACTGACAGTATCAAGGGCCTCAGTCAGATCTACAAACCTTGTGTACAGGCCTTAGTTCTGCTCCTGGCATTTCTCCTGGAGTTGATGGGCAGCAAACACCATTTCATCTGTTCCTTGGCCCTTTCTGAAGCCACACTGGCTCTCAGGTAGATGGCCATCTTCCAGATAAAGGATCAGCCTATTATGGAGGACTATGGCAAGTCATTTAACCTTTTAGTGTCCCAGTTCCTTCATTAACTTTAAATACATGATCCTATAATACCATTTAGATAATGACCCAGCAGCTAACTTTTAAAATTAAATGTTTTGACACTTTTAGTTGCATGTAATTTTATCTTAGTCTAAAAAAGCATGTTCAGTAAAAAGTATTTATACCTGATTGTACTTACCATATTATCTGCTGGGTCTGTAGTTTTCCCTTTCTTTACTGTAATTTGGACTTGATATTTTTTCTGAATCCACTGCTGAATCTGTTTAATTTTGATGTCCAAATCATGTTGTGCAATATTTGAAGAAAAGATTGATTCCTTTAACTGGGGAGGTCCTAATTAAAGACAATGATATTTGCAAGCTTACTATTAATGAGATAGGACTGAATCTCTATCTAGCAAGTTCAGCATTGTTAGTATTCCTTCCACTGATAAAGACTGTAACCTCTCCATGCCTTAACAGTTTTATGAGTTGCTGTACTAAAAAAAATAAAATTAGCTTTGTGATGAGCCCTCTATTAACAGAACTTTCAAAATTTAGCTAGGCTAGTCTTGCAACCACAGTTGGAGGCCTGGACTATACTCAAAAGTTCATACTCTCTTGGCAGAGTTTTTGAGAATCCCGAGTCACCTCTAGAATTTTTGCCTATTAACCCACTTCATTTTTTTTAGAGCAGGGATCCAAATTGCTAGTTGCTACCTCCTTAGCCCTTTTGTTCAATGAATGGGCTAACAAACTGGGTAAACAAAAAAGTAATTAGAATACCACTTTGGTGGAAGAAAATAATGATACTTTGTTTTTATTGAGATTTCTAGTTTTTATAATTCATAATAAATTACATAATTTCACCAGACAGCACACAACAAGGACAAGTTACTATTTACAAATGAGGATACTGGCTCAGAAAGATTAAGCAGTTTATTCCTAAGTCATATGTCTAGGAAGGGGCGGAGCAAAAATTAAAACCCAGATCTCCTAATTCTAGGTTCAATGTACTTTGCTCTCCAAAATGCTTTACTGTTATAAGCAATTAATAATTTAATAAATATTTTCATGTTAACAACACAAACAATACTAAGTACCTATCTGGTTGTGCATAATAGTTAACAGAGATCTATCATTACTTCAAAAAAGGTAATCTTTAACACCTAGGAATTTGTGAGAAAAGAAAATACCTAATAAGGACCTCCTTCCTTCCCCTAATGGCAATAAAGTACTTGTTTGGATACTTTTGCTTAATCTTTTTTTTTTTTAAACAGAGATATTAAGAGATGGTAAGGAAGAAATAGAGGCAGAAGGAGTCTCATTAAGATGAGAAAAATAGTAAAGTGAGAGATGAACAAGGAAATGCCAGATGCTTTAGGACAATATTACAATATTCACAATTTCCAAGTTTGAAATGATTAATAAAATACCTACCTGTTTTTGCTTGAGTCTTTTCTTTCTCTCTAAGTCGAAGCTGTTCTTCATGAATCTGCCTTCCTGACATTAACTGGTACACTGGAGGGTCTGCATTGGCGTTCCGTAAAACAAGTCTCAGGTTTTGTTCCTCCATTAGACGAATCACGTTCATTCGGTGCATCATTCCCAAATTGTTCCCATTACTATCAAGTAGTTGAAGAACTCGGTGATGAATTTTTCTCCCAACATTGCCAAAAGCTGATTTTGAGGTTTTTTTCTTGTTCGTTTCATCTTCTGTGTTTCCAACTGTACTAAATGCGTTAGCATATGTAGGCAGTGGTAATCTTTTGGCAACAGTGATAACTCCAAACTGTGTTAGTGCTCTCTTTTGCACAATCTGTGGACTAAAATATCTATCACTGCAATTAATTCTAGTTTTCACAGTCTGATGTATGAATTTCCTCATAAGAGCTGTCATTCTAAGAAAGCAGGGAGACAAAGTTATTTAAATTCAGTAATTTTTTTCCCCTTTAACCTGGCACTGTGGCCCTAGAAGATATTGTAGTATCCCACTGAATGTAATTTAGGGGAATTTTGGTTTCTGGAAAAGAAGATCCCACACATGGGAAATTCACATCAGGCTTTTACCAAAGACTAGAGGGTATCTGTGGCTATTAACCTATCTGCACTCATAGGCCATTTGCCTATTTCCTAGCTGTCTTTCAATTCCAGATGCATAAAATATCTTCAGTATACAAATGACATTTACTGAGATGCTGTGGTATCTAATACTAGATACAGGAACAGCATCTTACACATTTCATATCATTTATTGACTAACAGAAGGCCAATGTATTTGGTTTTATACAGAACCCAAGAGTATCCTAAATGGGATGGGCCATAAAGCTGGCCCACTGAGAAAACTAAATGAAAACTGATAACTGGGGGGAAAGGACAAACCAAAATTTGCCTATCAGTATTTGTTTTTCTGGTAGCTAAAGCTAGATCTCAATCATCCTAGTTAAGAACATACTAAAAGTAAAGTAGCAGACCCTGAGGGGGATGCTCATAATTGTTCCTCTAGCAAATCCAGTTAGTGTTCACGTGTTTGTAGGTCACTTCACACATTTAAAGTGGAGAGTGAATGGATCGCCTCCTTTTAATGACATAAGAGAAATCCAGAAGTGTTGTAGGCCACAGAATGGGAGTACCCTGAATGCATCCCTGCCTAAACGCTTAAAAGACATTAAAAAAAAATATGTGAGATGATGGAGTTAGGTATAGCTGTAAGCTAGTGGGGTTACTTCTTGTCTGTCAGAGAGGCAGTAACATGAGACCAGGCGGAGAAAACACTAAAGGAAAATATAACCCCCACACAGTGGAAGTTCATCAATGTACTTTGGAATAGACTAGTTCAAGGATTCTCACCTTTATTATGTACTGAGGATTTCTATTCCTCAAACGGGTCGGGGAGCAGGGCTGGAGAGATGAGTGGCAACAGAAATCCTGTGGGCCTTAGTCCTTTCCTAATGACACAAGCTGGCAAATGGCCAGAGGCTTTGTTGTTTCCCATTAATACTGGAGAGCAGTATGGCAGTGCTAGTGGATGAAGTGCTAGATCTGGAGGAAGAAAGGCCTGAGTTTGAATCTTATCCCTGACATTTAATTCTTGTGTGACCATGGACAAATCAACCTTTCAGGGCCTCATTTGTTAATGAAGTAGGCTCTACCTCATAAGGTTATTGTGAATATCAAATGAAATAACACGGAAAACATTTCGCACACCTTAAAGCACAATATGTCAGAACTGGTGGTTTCTGATGATAACTGAGAGGCTTGCTGGAGACATGGTGGGAGGTAAAGGGAAAAACTTGCCATAGCATAAAGGTAGGTTCTGGATAAGAAAATAAAGAGCAAGGTATCTCCTGTTTGCTTCAAATTTCTGCATAAGAAACTGAACGTCAGTAAATTCCCCCTGTATTGAGATGGAGTTTTGGAATCAACAAAAGAAGCCTAATAATTTTGGGACAAGTAAATCTTACGTAAATTGCCTACAAAATTTTGAAAGGTTTAGTTATATTTCTGGCTGAATCACTGTATATTAAAGGAAAAACTCACTAAAGGATGGCTGAGCTATATCTGTTACATCTAGAGTCTGAAATTACCAAAGAAAGCCTTTCTCTCCTACACAACATCCCGTGCCCGAGGCTTTGAGCAGTGTATTGTGAAAAGATGTACCGTGCTGTGACTCAGCACAGTAATTCTCAAGTTCCTGTGAATATGTGAAAGCTAACACTTAGGACTGATAATCTCTTATGTTACAGCTTTGTAGCATCTGATTGTAGAGCAATGTGGGCCCCAGGAATATTGCTGATTCTTATGTGAAAACAGAAGTACTGACAGTGGTTGAAAGGACTGATGCAGGACCAACAGTCCTTTCTACACTGCACCAGACTGGCCTTTGCCTTAAAGCTACAGTTAGTATTTAGAAAGCCTGATTTAATTTATTAGGACAGTTAAACTATGTCTACTTGACACCAGACTGTACTATAAACTCCCTGAGGGCTAGGATTTTTTTCATATCTCCAATGCCCAGCACAGTTCTTTGAGCATTATAGGTGTTTAACGTCTGTTGAAGTGAAATAATCAATAGCCAATTGTTTGCTTTAAACACAACCTAGCCAGATGAATTATTTTAGTGTTGTAGCACCTAGGCCAGTGTCTTAAAAGTAGCTCAATAAATATTTGTTGAATGAATAAAACAATCAACTGAATAGTTTGAGTCTATCAAAGCCTTTTTTCCCCTCAGAATAGTGGTTCAAGCTTATTTCACTGGAATGAAAGTACTTAAGTAGTAGTAACAAGAAATAGATAAATATTTTTAATTTATTTGGGGACAAATTCTTGAATTTAAAATAAAGCAAATTACTAAATATTATTGTTATTGCACCTGTGAGGAAAAACTACAGATATTTACATTTTCTTTATAATGATCAGACTTTTCTAGTATGCAATTATGTTTATGGATTTTAAATACTGTATGTAGACCACCAAATAATTATCATGGAGGTGGGGAATGTTATTAGTTTGTATGGTCATATTACAAAATTAATTAGCTTCTATGTACTTAGAAGCAGATAGTAAGAGACAACACTTATAGTTTACAGAAAGATCTAGAAATAAAAATGTTTTATCATAACCTCTTCACTGTTTACTCAAAGGTTTTCTTTTTATTAGGCCAATATTCACAGTTAAGGTCTTTCTTATTTTGATGTAAAAGCTACACATCTGAAGTTCTAGTGGAATAATGGTCTTATTATATGGACTAGCTAAGTTGACACACCACTACAAAATACCTCATTTGTTCTTCAAGAGTTCTGGAAAGAGATTCTGACAGAAGCTGTCTTGGCTACACTGTTACTGAACTATTGAATCTTGCTTTCAATTGCATGCCTCTGAGTTTTGCCCACACACAAAAAAAAGGAAAATATTCCTAGTAATAATACATGCTAAGACCTAAGCAGAGAAAGTGTGAAAGGAAAACTGAGGTTTTCTTTTCATTCCACACAATGATCTAGTGTTTACAATTCAGGTCAAGTTGCCTAACCTCATTCATTTCAAGTGTTTTCCTCAGAACTATACTATAAATATTAACCTCCTCATTTGACAGGTGAGAAGACTGAGTATCATCAGGGAGGTAAAGTGAGTTGTTCAATCTCACAGTCAGTGTGTTACAGGATCTGAACATAGGTCTCCTGACTCCAAGCCCAGGGCTCCTTCCAAAATACCACAGATTCACTCAGATATGTGGGAAAAACCTTGGATAGAGCCCTACTATAAAAGAAGCCACAGGATGACTGATTTCCAAGAACCTTCTAGAAACTTGTGAGACTATACTTCTGCATTCTCTGTAGCTTTGTTTCTTAGCCTCGCTAGCAAAGCTGAAACACTTAAGAGCAAACTGAATGGCAACTCTATGGTACAGTTCTATTTCCTTCAGAAACTTTATGTCATGAGGGTATCCAAGAAAAATAGAACTTCTCTTCTGGAAGGCTGTCCTTCCAAGATATATGGGAGAAAGCAAAAGGGCGAGATTAGGGAAAGTGTGCTTGTTTCTTTTTTATTTTTTTTTAACCCTGTTTACTCTTGCCTCTCCTCCACTCAGATAGGATGTTTAATTCGCTATCAAAACTTCCAAGATTGTTCACACTCAAAGCCTTTCTACCCCCTTTCTCTCCTATCTAGTTCAGTGAAGCCAAAGAACAGGAAATGTTTCTTATTCGGGGCCTTCCCTCTCCATTCCTGTTACGGCCATACTTCGGGTATTCTTTTCATCTAACTATTGTAAGCCTCCTGTCTTCAGACTATCTCCTCTGTAAATCACCTTCACTGCATTCACCTCAAAAACCTGCTGTGGGTCCCCATTGCCTAGGAATGAAGTTTAAACTCAAGATCATGCATTCACTAGGCTCCAACCAACCTTTCCAGTATTTTCTCAACCTGGTCTCTCTTTGTCTAAGGCATTGTCCCCCATTCTTGCTTATTCTTGAAATGGGCACCCGTACCCAATCTCATAGAATCTTTATTGGAAGCGACAGAGGCTGGAGCCAGAAGAGCTGGATTCAAATCCACAACTAACTAGCCACGTGATCTTGAGGGACTCAAGTCTATCTCGTAGAAAAGAAATACCCAGGTAACTGGGCTACTGTGAAATTCCAGGAGGATGTATGTGTTTAATCACCGTCGGCTGCTGCTCAGGTATCTCAGCGGCCGGCAGCCTGACCTATGTGTTAAATCTGTATTCCAGGTGTAACCCCGCTGTCACCTCCTCCACGCAGCTCCTCCTGACTCACTGCCAAGAGCTCTCCTCTCTGAGCACTCTGGCTGCTGCCCCCCGCCGAGGTCCCACAGTGCCCTGCGCTGTGTCATCACCTCCAGTGCCCTGCGCTGTGTCATCACCTCCACCGCCCTGCGCTGTCATCACCTCCACCACCCGCCGCTCAGTGACCCTCCGCGGCCCCCCGGTGCCTAGGGGTGCAGTGGTATGCTCTCGGTAAGTGCTTGTGGCTTGGCCCGGGAACGTCCCTCCCGCAGCCGGGACGGGGAGGCCCACTGCCCGAGTATCGGGGCGCAGGGTCCGAGGCACGCGAGGAAGGAGGTGTGGCCCCCAGGACGCCGGCCCGTGGGCCCTGGCAGCCCGCCCGCGCCCCGACGGGGAGGAGGTGACCCTGACGCGGGTCTTCCCCACATACGCCCACCCCGGAGCTGCGGCCTCAGGTTCGAGTTACCTGATATGGGACTGGAAGGAACGGGAGACAAAAGTCAAGGCAGCGCCGGAAGCGGAGGAGCCCGGCCGCTTCCCGTAGTGGGCGGAGCTTCCGCAAGTGGCGCTTAAAGGGAAAGCAGAGCTGCGGGCAGGGGGATGGGCTGCGCCGGAGGAATTAAAGTCCTCCGACCGAGAATGCGAGCGTTAAAGTCTTGTAATTGAGAATGCGCTTAACGTCGCTCGACGACTGAGGGCGAGGGAGCGAGGCTCTGGTCGGGCCGAGGACTTCCTTGGTTTACGTTCTGTTCAGCCCGTCACCCCCAGCATACACACACCCCTGGAATGGGGGTGAGGCCGTAGGCCTGCGAAGTGGTACAGGAGACCACACTGTGTGGGGAGGGGCCCAGGGTCTGGAGTCTGGACTCTGGGTTCGAATATGCCCCCGGATACTATATAACCTCGGCCAGGTCCTTCCACCTCTCTGGACTTGGTTTCCCAACTTGAAAAAAAATAATAAAATTAGGGCTTTGGACAACAGCCAGTCCACTTAGGCCCAAGCCCTGCACAAGTGAGGCGATTACTGAAATCAGGGCGATGCTTTGAAAAAGGATCCATGATTGCGTCCCCCAACCCACACCGAGCCACACTAGCCTCCTGAGTGGTGGCTGACAAGGGTGGCTGGCCTTGTGCTGGGAGCCCCGCCCTGCCTCACCTTACCTTATCTACCTTCACCTCCCCTGCCCTCACCTTGCAGGCTTCCTTCACTGGAAGCCTGTCCAGCAGGACAGGAGCCTAGCTGTTCAGCTCCACTCCGCTGGGTCCCGCAGTAGAGAAGCTATCAGGATTTAAACCTGACTCTATCTGGAGTCGACAGATGGAAGGAAGTTATATGTAATGTGGATAGAGCTGTATATCGCATAAAGACTTTGAAACAGATTTAACAAATTAATAAAAACTTTTATTGATTACATTCTATGCATAAGACATTGCTCTTGTGCATGGGAAGGGGGCAGGATGCAAAGAAGGTTAAGATCCTTGCCCACAAGGAGTCTACAATCTGGGATGGGATGGGAGGAAATGATTTTTACGTAAATAAACACAATCCAAAATATGTACTGAGAGTTCAAAGGCAGGGGTCTCATTTTTTAGCTGTAGTTATAAAAAATGGTGGACCTTGAAAGCAGTATAGGGTTTCAGCGTGTAGGTATGCTTCAGTTTTCTTAACTGTAAAATGGAGATAATAATATCCCCATTGTTGTGAGGATCAAATGAGATAAAACTTATAAAGCCATTAGCAGAGTGCCTGGCATTTATGGTTGTCTCCTTTCCTTGGGGGGGGGAGGGGAGAGGGTATCCCCAGTGCTTAGCACCGTAGCACACAAAAGACACCTAATAAATGTTGACTTGACAATGATTGATTAATGGTTTAGTATTTGCATGTACACAATTTCAGATTTGAACACGGAAAAGAATTTTGAATTAATAAAACCATGGCCCAGAGAAGTAAAAGATTTGACCAAGGCTACATAGGTAGTGAGTGAAAAATTCAAAATTCGAACTGAGGTCCTCTGACTACATATGTTTATACTCTAGGATCATAGATTTATAGTTTTCAAAGAACCTGTGAAATCATTTAGTCCAGCACCCTTGTTTTATAGATGAAGAAACTAAGGCATCCACAATGAAGTGAGCCAGGATTCAAACCTATGTTATTTGACTCCAAATCCAGCATTCTTTCTACCATACCAGGCTGTCTCTCCCATTGCCACCAACAAGAATGAACCCCTGAAGATGTGATTTGAATTAAAAAGTACTAGTTGTGATGTGAAATGAACTAAAATGTACAAAGAGGGTCTGTAGAGTTTTAATGCCTAAGCGGGTTCCAGAAATTTAGTCACATGACTAATAGATCCCTGAAAACAAATAATTCCCTGTCCTTATGACCTATCAGTGTTCTCTCTGTAGCCTTTTCTTGTTCCGTTGAATGTGCAAGTCTCCAGGAAAGGTTGGGGGAGGAGACCTCCACACTGTCACTGTCAGAGACTTTAATTCTAAGGTGGTGCATGAAATGAGGATGAAAAATTTGGTGAAAGGTAGTGATAATGGGCATGAAAATAGGAGCAGCTGTATTTTCTCTGCTTTCTTCCAGACATTGCTGTAGCCCCCTGCTGAAAAAGGTCCCTGACAATTAAGAAGAGGCAGTGTGGACAACTTAGTATCACCTCCGTGGTGACAAACCTGAGGACTGTTAAAAATAGACCATCTCTGTCTTAAAGAGCGTACTTCACAGGATAAACTGCTTTCTACTTGCCAAAGCATACTTTGTAGGTGTCTCAGATAATATTGTACAGTAAAATAATTAGCATGTTAGACCTGCTTTAGAAACAAAGCATTGTTCAATCTAAGTAATTTCCATGTGGATCTCCAAGAGATTTTCCTCTAAAACAAGCTCTGTCAAATAAAGCACAGGTTAAGGTTTTTCCCTGTCTAAAAGCTGATGGAAGCTAACCCTTTCCCCTTCTGACCTGACCAGCTTTCAGTTATTTTCTTCTGATGGAACCTTGCAGCCTGCAAAAACATGTTAGATTTTTCATGGGTTTGAAAGTTGATGGAGATTTATCCTGTCCTCTTCTAATCTCTTTTAACTGAGCTTTCAGCTCTCACCCAATTTCAAGTTCAACCATGACACCCTTCCCCTTTGTTCACAATCCCCCTGCAAATTCTAAGTCCCTTTTCTGCTCTACCTGCTTCTTCAATTTCTGATTATTTCTGGAATCGATCACGACTTCCATGATTAGTTGAAATGTTAATGCCCACCATTACTCACTAATGTTCCAGCCCATGCCTGTGGCTCTCAGACATCCAAGAATGCCACATACAAAATATAAGTCCTTTCTTCCTGCTCATCCCACACCCTGCCAGAATCTGTAAGAGGAATTTTTTCACCTTCTTTGAGGGATTTCTTTTTATAAATATAGACAGCTAGTACCCTAAGATCCTTCCATCCAGATCCTTGGGTCCCTATAAAGCTTCCCTAGTGTCTGAGAATGGTTTGCAATGACACTTTGCCTAATCATATGTTGCCTGACACATCGTAAGCACTTCATAAAGAATGTTTGGTTGATTGACTTGCTTGCTTGATTGGCATGTTCCCAAAGGAGGATCCCAAGGCAAGAAGTGATCATGAGGCATATTTAATCCACTCATTTCAATTAATCAAACATTGATTAAAGGCCTATGCTGTTCAGAACACTGCTAAGGGCTAGATGAGATACAAAGATTAGATAAAACAGGGGACAAGGTCCTGCAACTGCAGATGTCTAGGGTTTTACAATCTATGACACTAGAATGCTTAAGAGAATGGGGAAGGGTTTCAGAACATTAAAGATACAACATAAAGATATAGCTTCACTGACACTATGACTCAGAGTCATCACCACCTAGTGTTCTGGTGTACTTTGTGTCTCAGGTCTTAGGTAGCTTGTTATATAATCCAAGGTATAGGACCTTCCCAGGGACACACAATACAAGGGAACACAAAAGACCCACAGGGAAGGTCACTGTAGTAGTCGGGGCTCCCAAAGCTGTATATCTCTGCCAACTGGAGTTCTCATCCAACCTTCTTGCTCTCACTCCCACCCAAACATTTAGCTCTACTGCCGAAGTATAAGGGCCAGTTTAAGAATATCAGTCCACAAGCCTGCTATTAACACACTACCCATGAGGCAGCCTCAGAGTGGGAAAGGCACTGATATTAGCCTTACCAGAAAGAAGACTCCATTCCTTTTCAGGGACATATGCTTTCTTCCAGCTCCATAGCTCAACTGTTTACCTCCTTAATATGGTGAAACTATCTCCCCTTTTAAGACTCCCCCCTTTCTACCTCCTCTCCCTGGTTATATGACCTGGCCTGTTTACATAAGGGAAATTGACTCACACTCACAAAGATCATAGGATTCCTTTGTCAGTTGGCATTAGTGTTATTGATCAGGCCACCTTTATCAGAGTCAGGTAGCACACCTAAGCACACTTGTACAAGGTATCTTGGTGCTCTCGTATGCAGTATTCTTTACACCTTTGTCCTGCAGATCTTCCTTTAGCTCTTCTCTTGAAGAGTTGGTTTGTGCTAATTGCTGATTGTTCCTTCTCCTTTTGTACCTTCAAGTTTGGCACAGAATTTCCTTTTCTTATGTCTTCTTCCCTCCTTGGGTCTTCCAAACCCAGGGCAGAGGCTTACATTTTAATGTGTTGTCTACTGGAAACCTTTCTTCACCCTTATGAACAATGTCCTCTAGACTGATCTCTTCATGGCAAGTATGATGTTGATTGGCCATTTTCTCCAGGTTGCCTTGACTCAAAGACCCAGCAGCTATACTGGTGTCTCAAGAGGGTTTTAGTACTTGCGGTTGTGACCCCGGTTCCAGGAGAAGGAGAGCTTTTGCTGTCTGATCCACTACTCAACCCTATCCTTTTCCAGGCTAAAGCTTGAATGAATTTATCCCTTGCTACATATGAAGTGCCTTTGGTCATAACTCAAGCTTGATGCTCCTTATGAATGGCATGTCCTATCTTGTTACCTATATGTTGTTTATTTATTTAAAAGTCTTTTTCATGGGAGAATATGAATGCAGTCCCCCACTACCACAAATTATGCAGTCAAGTTTCCCTCATTTGGGAAAATTGCAGGGATCACCCCACCTGAGTGATCATGGAATCACCCCTGTCAGGTAAGTATTCTCATTACCTTTATTATCTGCCCTGACCTCCCTATACAACTACCAGTGTGTGTTAAGCAAAGATACCTTTTACATACCTCTGATTTTGATGGTTCTCTTAATGCCTGGTTAACTCAATGGAGCAAGTATCATAGAGCGCCAATATTGGAAAGCATTGGTCTGCTGACACTGGTATGTTCATAACTCTGGAAGGCTGAGTTCTCCAGATAGCTTCTCCTTGCCCAATCTTGACTCTCCCAGTCTTCCTAAAAGTTTTCTTCTATTGTCCTGATCCCAAGTCTATTACTACTATGGGGCTAGGTGAGAGGAAGTGCCACGCTAGAAGTACAGGCCAAGATAAGTTCAATATTATTATCCCAGCAATGTGCTTTACATAATAAGTACATAGTAAGTGCTAAATAAATAGTTGTTGAATATTTACTGACTATAAGCTCTGACCAACCCCACTTACTTTTCCTGTTTTTTGTTTTTTGTTTTTTTAATGGCCATTCATTCAAGTTACTTGTCATCAGGAAAGGCAACCTTATCTCCAGGCATAGAATACTTTGTTAAGCAATTTAATTTTTCATTTAGTCCCTTTCTAAATTTGAAATCAGCACTACTTCCTCCCAGCCCCAAAGTGTTCTCAGTTAGTGGAAAACATGCATGCATACACACATACGTACATGTATATATGTGTGTGTGTGTGTATGTTATATGTGTGTGTATTTATATACTCAAAGATCACCCTCACATTCCTTTTAAACTCTTCTGCATGATCCCCACTCTGAGTTTAGAAGGTTTTTTGCTTATGACTAAATCTTCCTTGAATCTATCCTCCCTCTTATTTTCCCTTCTCCCCTCTCTTCCCTACTCTTTTCCTGTTGAGGTAGATATTTTTGTACCAAACTCTGTGTTCACATTCCCAAGAGCACATTCTACCCTCCTTTGATCATTTAGATAAAAGTAAGGTTCAATTGATGCCTGCTCCCCCTTTTCATTTGAATTGGCTTCTACTTTCACAACCTAATTATGTGATATAAATTCCCCCATTCTTCCTTCCCCTTAGGTCTCTATTGTGTCTTCCCCTTCACTTCTTTTTTCTTTAAGATCACCAAAATATAACAAAAGCATTCTTAGGGTCTTTGTTTTATTTAATTCCCTCTGTGATTACTCATGGCCTTAGGGTTCTGAAGGGATATGTGTATTCTCCATTAAAATGTTAACACTTCATCTTTGTATTGCCCACTTGTATTTACCACTTTATGTTTCTCTTGGTTTCTGTGTTTCTATTTCACAATTTCTTCTCAGCTCTGTTCTTTTCATCAGGAATACTTAGAAGGCCTGTATTTCATTAAAGATTATTTTCCCCCCTTCTAGGATTGTATTCAGTTTAGCTGGGTAAGTTATTATTGGTAGTAAGCCTCTATCTTTTATGTTTTGGAATCTTGTATCCCACTCTGCTTCTTTAGAGTGGTAACTGCTAAATCTTGGGCAGTTTTGACTGTGATTCTTCAGCAAATACTGAATTCTTCCCTTTCCAGACATTTGCAGTTTGGGTTTGTTTTTTTTTCAACTTAGCAGCTCTGGATTCCAGCTATGATATTCCTGGGAGTTTTCATTTTGGGGCTTGTTTCTGGAAGTAATTAGTGGGTGCTTTCTATTTTTACTTTACTTTCTTTTTCTAATAGGTCTGGGGCAGTTTTATTTAACAATTTCTCTAAATATAATATCCAGGCTCTTTTTTAGGTCTTGCATTTTAGCTTGCCCACTGATACTTAAATGACCTCTCCTTGATCTGTTTTCAAGGTTATTTGCTTTTGATAAGAGATACCTTACATTTTCTTCTTCATTTATTTTTTTCAATCTTTTGACTGGGGTTTAGTGTTTCTTGTTGTTTCATAACTTTTGTTTGGGTTATTCGAATTTTTAGAGTCTGTTGCTTGACTAGAGTTTTGTAATTCTTCTAGGTCTTTCCTCTGTATGTGTTACTTCTTTTCCATTTCTTTCCTCTAATGTTCTCATTTCATTAAATAATTTTAAGCCTTTTTTAAACCTCTTACTTCATTTCTGCAAGGAATTCCAACTGATCTTATGGCCAAGCTGTACTTTTCTTTGAGACTTCACATGTATATGTTTTGGAGTAATTCTTTGGTTCTGAGTTTGTGTCTTGGAAGTTCCTGGCACTATAATTACTCTTTATTATGGGGAAATTTTTTTTTTGTTTACTCATCCTTCCAGCTTTAACTCCTGGATCTGGACTTTGCATTAGGACCAGGTTCTGATTTGTATTTTCTGGGATCCTATTGCTTCTTATTTATTTATTTACTTATTTATCTATCTATTTATTTATTTATTTATTTATTCATTCATTCATTCATTCATTTTCCCTTTGGGTGAGGCAGTCAGGGTTAAGTGACTTGCCCAGGGTCACACAGCTAGTAAGTGTCAAGTGTCTGAGGCCAGATTTGAACTCAGGTCCTCCTGACTCCAAGGCTTGTGCTCTATCCAAGGTGCCACCTAGCTGCCCCTTCTACTGCTTCTTTCTCCAGGTATTGAGTGCTGTGCTGTGTTCTTCAAGGGTATTTGAAGTGGCTTGGACCAGGGAACTACAAACTTCCAGCAAGTCCAAATAGTCTGATCTAGTACACAGTCTGATCACTGCCTCCTAAACCTTCCAGTTTCCAGCCCCTTTTTGGATCTAGGCAACACCATTACATACTTACTCCTAGGTGGAGATCCAGTAGATAGCTTCTTGATGTAACCCTTGTCACCTAGCTAAAAATACCTATAGGTTCTGAGCTGCAGAATTGTAAAAGTCTAGCCCTGGTCTGAGCCAGGGTCTGAATCCTCTGTCCTACTCTGATGTCTAAGTAAAAACACTGAAGGCCTGCTTCCCCCCCCCCCCAAGTCCTGCCTTGTTTACTTGCATGTGGACCAAATTAGTGATCTTGGTCTGGAAAAAATGACAAGATTTCTCCATAGATTTCCTCATTCCTCACAACTCAGTCTGGCATTCTTCTTCCATCTTTTCTGGCATAGGTTTGGAGGGGAATTGGCCTGTACTGCTTCCTCTTACTCCTCAGTCTTTGCTGATTCTCCAAAGACAATCCTCCTTGTTGAGGTTCCATCATGGAACTCATGTCTTACTTATAACAGAAGTGTTTAAAAATTGCCAGAAACCCTGCTTTAAATGCTGGTAGTTCTGTAGCACAGTGCTCCATTCCTCATTTAAAGGAACTGTCCAGCCTAAGGCAGCTTTGCCTGCCCTCTCCCCACAATCTGGCAATAGTAAAGTCCACCCTGTGTTTTAAGAGGTCCACAATTATGTCTTTCTTTAAAAAAAATTTTGTTGATGTATTTTTTAATTTTTTTTTTTTTTTGCTTTTAGGCAATTGGGGTTAAGTGACTTGGCCAGGGTCACACAGTTAGTAAGTGTCAAGTGTTTGGTCTGAGGCCGGATTTGAACTCAGGTCCTCCTGAGTTCAGGGCCGGGCACTCTATCCACTGTGCCACCTAGCTGCCCTGTTGATGTATTTTTTTACAACACCTATATTTCTCAGCTTTTTTTGTACATATGGGTCCTTATCCTTTTTATTTTCTCTGTTTCTTTCTATCTCTGTCTAGCTGTCTCTCCCTTTATATATGTGTGTGTATACATACATACATATATACAGACATTCATACATGCATGCATGTATACATACATATATATACACTGCTCTCCAGAATGGCTGGATCAATTAAAATACTAATGTACAATAGTACATTATTATGATTGTCCTCCCATATTGTCTTATCATTATCATTTCATTTTTTTTTGCCCATCTTTCTATAATGCATACAACATTTGCCATCCCAAGTTTTTGTCAACTTTGCCAATTTGCTGGATTTAAGGTCATATCTCAGAGTTGTTTTGATATGCATTTCTCTTATAAATAGTGATTTGGAGCATACTTTTTTATTTTTTTAGTTTAATGTATTTTAATAGCAAACTTACAGGAACAGCACAGAAGACAGACAACATTAAAAACATGTACTTGCATGTAGGACAACTCGGTCAGAAAAGTATAGTGAATGGATGGAATCTACCATATGATAAAAATGCTACAAACACCATTTAGTTGCCGTCAATAAGAAATTTACTTTTTAAAAAAATCTAAATGCTGGCATTGTCCAGAAATATTTAACAGGTTTATTTAAATTGTTATAAAGTTGAATTGTTGAAACTTGTTCACGGAAACATTTTTTTGACCACATTAATGCTTTATGTCCTCGCATTTATATTCAAAATTCACACACAAATGAAAATGGAAAAAACTTGCCAATACCTGATTCTGTCCCCTATTTTTCCATTTGCAATCACATACTTAGGTACCTTTTGACCCCCTGGGAAAAAAATATCTAACGTTCAGAACTACCAATAACAGGAAGAAGAGATTTTTTTCTATTTTGAGAATGAAGAATGTTTCCCATCACAGTGGAGTTTAATAACGTTTTCCACATATGCGCGTGCTAGCTGGATATCTTTTGGCATGATTGTGACACGTTTGGTCCGGATAGCACACAGGTTGGTGTCCTCAAACAGGCCAACCAGATAGGCTTCACTTGCCTCCTGCAAAGCACCAATTGCTGCACTCTGGAAGCGCAGATCTGTTTTGAAATCCTGAGCAATTTCACGCATCAGACGCTGGAAGGGAAGTTTACGAATCAGAAATTCGGTGGACTTCTGATAGAGTCTGATTTCACGGAGAGCCACGGTACCCGGCCTGGAGCGATGAGGTTTCTTGACCCCTCCAGTAGAGGGCGCACTCTTGTGAACGGCTTTTGTAGCGGGCTGCTTCCTGGGGGCTTTTGCCACCGGTGGATTTACGGGCAGTTTGATTGGTACGAGCCGTGCTCCTGAAAACTTCTCCTTATACACACCCCGCTTCTCTTTCGGCTTGGGCTGGGAGAGCGAGAGGCGGCCCTAGTGCTGAGAGCTACGGCGGCGTGGGCGGCTGCGGACA